GCCAACCTCAGGGCCTCGGGTGTTCTCAGGCAATTGGCTCCAGCCAGGATTTTTTTGCAGCTGTGGAGTTTGCCTTAGGGCCTGTTCCCTCCCAGGTTGGCTAGAAAGCAGCTGCACTACCTGCGAGTGTTGAGTTCCCGGGAAATGGCAGCTGGCAGTGATCAAGGTTTTTTTTCCTACACAACTTCATATGGGCTGTGGCAGGGCACGGCTGTGGGTAAGGCAGTTTTCTGTGAGGGCCTGGAGTCCTGCAACATTCAGGGGGCTTCCTAAGTCCATGGTAGGAGTAAAGAACTCCTAAATTCTCCTCACTCACCTTCCCCACTGCATCTGGAGGCTGCTGGTGAACTGTGGTGTTGCAGGTAAGAGTCTGACTAGTTCCAATCCAGGTTATGGGTTTTTCTCTTTTTTGCAAGCTGTGGTTGTGGTCTCTTTGAAGAGTTGTGGGCATGCTGCTGGTCTTTCTGGGTGTTGAGAAAACTCTATCTTGATGTACTCTATGGGAGAAACTCACTCTGAGCTCTGTCAATTTATCTTTTAAAAGAACCAACTCTTTATTTTACTTATTTTTTTCTTAATTTTCTATTTCATTAATTTCTGCTTGTATATATACTATATCCTTTCTTCTGCTTGCTTTGGGTTTATTCTCTGTTCTTTTTCTAGGTCACTGATGGAAAAGCTTAAGTTATTGTCTTGAGACTTTGTCTCTTTTCTAATGCATGCATTTGGAGCTTTAAATTTCCCTCTCAGCATTGCTTTACCCATGTCCCACAAATTTTGATGCGTTATGTTTTCATTTTTATCCAGTTCAAGGTGTTTTGTATTTCTCTTGATATTTTATCTTTGACACACATATCATTTGGAAGTGTGTTATATTTCCAAGTTGTTTGGAGATTTTCCCGTTAGCTTACTGCTATCAATTTCTAGCTTAATTTCATTGTGGTTAGAGAAAATATTGTGTATTATTTCAATTACTTTACACTTGTTGAGGTCTATTTTTTTGGTTCAGGATATGGTATATCTTAGTATGTGTTCCATAGGCTCTTGAAAAGAAAGTGTATTCTTCTATAGTTGGGTGAAGTCTATTAGATCCTGCTGGTGGATAATGTTGTTATTTTATATCCTTGCTGATTTTCTTTTTAATTACTCTCTGTTGATTTTTAAAAAATACCAAATTGCTGATACCAATAGTCTTATAAGAATTGATTTTATCAAATGCTTATTATATTCCAAACACTCTGCTGTCTTTTGCTTGCATTACATAATTTAGTTCTTGCAATAACCAAATGTGTCACAAACTGTTATCTCCATTTTTGCTGAAGCTCAGAGTGGTTAGATGATTTGCCACCAAGATCACACAGCTAGTAAGTGGCAGAGCTGACATTCTAGTCCAGGGTCGTCTGACTTCTAACTATGTGCAAGTAACCCCTATGCAATCTGCTGCTCTGTCAGGATCCCAGAAAGGATGATACATTTTCTTGAAGTTCACATTTGAGTTGAGGATGCAAACATTACAGTGATGGCTAAAGGGAAAGTTCCATCAAAGTATGGCAAAGTATGGTAGGCAGCCTTTAAGGGGGTACCCAATGATTCCCACCTCTTGATATTTGTGCCCTGTATAATTCCTTCCTTTTAAGAATGGGCTGGATCAAGGGATTCACTTCTAATTAACAGAAGATGGCAAAAGGGATGATAAGTCTATTCTGAGATTAGGTTACAAAAATACTGTGACTTCCATCTGGGACCTGTTTTCTCTTGCTTACTCTCTCTCTTGCTTGCTCCCTCACTTGCTCTGAGTGAAGCCTGGTGCCATGATTTGGCCTAGGAAGAGGCCTACGTGGCAAAGAACTGATGTCCCTGGACCACAGCCAGTGAGGACCTAAGGTCCACTAACAGCCATGTGAGTGAGCGTGAAAGCACATCCTCCTCACTCAAGTCACATATCCTCGTGCCTGGGGCTCCAGCTGACACTTTGACAGTAGCCTTTTGAGAGATATTGAGCCAGAGATACCCTCCTAAGTAGCACCTGGATTGCTAAACCATAGAAACTGAGATAATAGATGCTTGTTATTTTAAGCTGTTGGGTTTGGGGGGAAAGCACCCAAGAAAGAGAGAAAACAACTACAGGAAGTCAGACTTTTGGCTTCTGAAGTCACCTGCAGCTGAAACTTCAGGGAAGTCAAGAGATAGTAGAAACCACTGACTTGTTGGGGGAAAAAATGTAAGAATAGGGGACCTCTGTCCTGCTCACTATGTGTCTCTCTGATAGGGCTTCACTGCATGTGATTGTTATGTGACAACAAAAAGACAAATGCAGCAGGGGACAAATGGCACATGTCAGCAGAGAAAGGGCAAGATATGACATGCTGGAGTCTCTTTGGCTTTTGGGAAATGGAAGTTCCCTTAGGGTTCCAGAGGGGACACAGAAATTAGATGAGTTGAGAGCCTGGAAACCAGTCATGGGAATTCTGTGGTGAGAGAGGAGGTGACCCTGTAGAAAGGGCACTGCCTAGAGCTCCTCTCGTATCAACAACCCCTGGAAAACTAAAGATTTAACAAAGGGACCAAGTTAGTGTGAAACATCAATACTTGGCAGATTTAAGTTTATTTATATCTTCAATATCATTCTCCCTGTCCCCAATACCACCACTAATGAAAATGGGGACTTTGTAGCAAGATGAAAACATTGTTTTTACAAGCACATAATATGTAAATATTGGCCTTCTCCTGTGACTGCTACCATGTGACTGTCACTGATTGGCAGCCTCATTGCTTCCACAAAGACATTGGACTGAGTGACCTCTAGGCCTTTTCCCACTTCTAGTTACTCCTACCTGGCTCAGATGGAAAATTGCAAGTGGCAAAATGGAGGGACAAATGGAGGTCATAATCAGTGAGAGAGAAAGAGGTGTGGGAGGATAGCAGAGGCACAGGAATGGCCTGACTCATGTGCACATGTGAAAATGAAGATGGCATGGCACGGGAGGGAGAAAGATGGAGGGGGTAGACATTTCTCTCACAATCAATCATCCTCAGTTCACAGGCATCATACATGCCTCTTCCTTTTCCTGTGGTTACAATGAGTCCTCTTCCTTGGAAATTTAGCTCAGGTTACAGTCCTGCTGTATAGGTTGTGTACTATAAAAATCCAGGTGGTATCACTCATATCCTGTGAGATGCTTTGACAAGTCATTGCTCAGAAATCTTTCCACACCATTACCATTGAATTCTTGTCATTTCCATTCATTAACAAATATTTAAACAGTTACTATGTGTCAAGTGTTATTCTGTGTTGATTTGGCAGTGAACAAGATAGAGTCTCTACTCTTGGAGTTGGTGTAGGAATGAAACTGATGGTAACCACAGCAACAAGGTAAGTTTAGAAATTGTAAAGAAGAGGTTGTGTATTTTTGGGGTAAGGTAAAACTTTAGCTGAAACGTTTGGGAGATACATTCTCATGCTTTCTATAATACTTAGGACCATATTTTATCAACAGTAGCTGTTCTGTACTTAACTATCTTTCTTTTTTCCCCCCAAACTTGAAACAGCAGAAAATATGTAACTATTTATATATTGGGTATTTGATATAAGGTAATAGAGTTAATTTCTGATCATCCTTTTCATTTGTCCTAGCAAAATTAAATAGTGTTTTAAGAGAATGTGAATCACTTAATAAACTGAGTAGGAATTAAGGATACTTTTGTGGGTTTGCAAGTAGCAGAGACAGATTTTATAAATTTAGCTCATGGTCACTGTAGTCTCAACCTGCTAGGCAGGTGATCCTTCTGCCTCAGCTTTCCAAGTAGCTGGAACTATAGACGCCATACTACCATGCCCGGCTAATTTTTATGATTTATTGTAGAGACGAGGTCTCAGCAAGTTGCCCAGGCTGGTCTTGAATCCCCAGGCTCAGGCAATCCTCTCGCCTCAGCCTCCCAAAGTGCTGGGATTACAGGTTGAGCCACCACTCCCGGCCATGAGGTATACTTTCTAAGACCTAGGAGAGTCCTCAAGTCACAAATTCCATTAGAGCACATAATTTCCCCATCAAACACACTGATATATAACTGATATGTTTAAATATCCTTTGTAACCTTAATGGTTTTCTATAAATACAGGCTAAAGAAATTTCTAGGATTATTTTCTGGCTAAAACCCTTCATTTCCTTAAACTCTTTCACCTTCATTACTAGTACTAGTGATTGGTTAAAAACAATTTTTTTTTTCAAAACAAAAAGTCAAGATTAAAAAAAAATCATGGAAGTCATTACATTCTTGACAATAAATAGAAATATCAGGACATATTAAAGTGTTGTCTAAAAGGTTGCTCACTCTTTGGATAGAGATCCCATTCCTCAATGCACTAGCTCAGAGGCCTTGTGACCCAAATGAAACATTCCGAAAATGAGAAATCACTATGGGTTATTAACTATTAGGATTTCCGTTAAAACACACACACACACACACACACACACACACACACACACACACACACACTGAAAATGAGAATGTTAAATCCACAGGTACTAAAGGTCTTTTGGTATCTGAATTATAAACTCATAGCAGGAGGGCACAATGCCATCCCTTGTCTACCTCTTTAAAGTTGTGGCATATGTGAGATCATTTTGAAGGGAAGTCAAGTGATGAAGAACTTTCTGAGCTGAATATCATATAAGAAATTGCTCTGGAACACTACTGATTGGATTTTCAGTCTTTTGTCATTTGTCTGCTACTGTGGTTGGGCCTGATTTGCCACAGTTTCACAGAGGCTCAGGTTCTTTCTCTGTAATGAGGGCTGCCAATTCGAACTTCCCAGGGCAGAGGTGAGGATAAGCAATAAGAGGTCTTCATGAACTTGAAAGCAGCCCACAAAACCAAGGGGTTTATCATTCAATCAGATACCATTGGCTTCAAATTCCCACTTTGTTCCTTTAGCAGAATAAAAACACAGGGAAGCACTGACTCACTGAAATGGACATTGTGTGAAGGATTTAACTTACTTCCTTTACAAACCACTGACAAAAGGCAGGACCAATCCATTCTCTTGCGTGAATACCACAGTCCATCCAAACAGCTCTTTTGAGTCGTGATCTTCTACCCAGCTGAAAACAAGAGTATTCAGAGTAACCAACTCAGGCTTTTATTTTTGGATTCACTGACCAGCATAATTTAATAAGATTTCAGCATAATTCTTCACTATGGTTTGGTCCATTCGGTAATGCATAAAAAGGATGAAGAGATTTCCTGTCTACTTCTGAAGTCCAGGCTTGTTTATGCAGATACAATAAATATATTGCCCTAATTATAAGCAAAGAACTAAAAACTACAAAAGGAAAAGGGAAATCCCTAAAATAGGGTTGCTTCATCATTTTAATTTTTTTTTTTTTTTTGAGTTGGAGTCTCACTCTGTCGCCCAGACTGGAGTGCAGTGGCTGCTCCCGGCCACCGCAGCCTCGACCTGCTGGGCTCCGGTGATCCTTCCGCCTCAGCCTTCCGAGTAGCCGGAATTACAGGCATGTGCTACCACGCCTGACTGAGTTTTTGATTTATTGTAGAGATGAGGTCTCGCTGCCCAGGCGGGTCTCGAACCCGCGGACTCAGGCAATTCACTCACCTCAGCCTCCCAAAGGCACGGGATTACAGGCTGAGCCACTGAGCCTGGCTGCTTCATCATTTTAATATAGCACGTGACTGTTAAGTAAAAAGCTAAATCCCTCCCACCCCTTTTCTCTCTTTGTCACAAGGAATATTTCTTAAAGAAATAGCTATGTTTTATAGGTAGATAAATTCAAACTTTATTACACCACAAAATGGAAACATAAAACAACTTGATTTATAGGAATCAAGTGACAGATTTTGCTTTACAATCCTACTATATCAATATTACTCTTAACCTGGTTTCTAACCCAGTAATCAATAGGTAGCTCTTGACATTATATTCACAGGGGATCTAGTGTTCATTCATTCTTTAATTCACTCAGCTAATATTGCAGGAAATTCTTTTTAAAGTCAGACATTATGCTTAACACTGGAGATTCAAAGATGAAAAGACAAGGTATTTATATAACAGTGGGTAGGGCAGACATGGAGCCATCAATCAACCATTACTATGTGAATATCTGTAAGTTACTGTGAGAACATAGAATGTCATGTCGAATTTTCCTGGGGGAATAAAAGAAGCCTTTTTAGAAGAAGAGGACACAAATACTCCTTAAAACTTGTCTGAAAGACAAGTTGGAAGAAGCCATTTCAAGCTTGGAAGTGAATCTGAACACACCATATCTGAGAAACTCCTGGCTTAAGGAAGAAATGGCAGATGAAGTTGAACGTGGAAGTCCCTGAATTCTACATTAAAGAGATGAGGCTTCATTCTGTATTCCACAGGAAACTTCTGTCTGTGTGTGCACATGCATGCACACACACTTGTGTTAGAGAGCTCACACTGACAACAGTGTGGAGGATGGATTGGAGGTGAGAAAGTTGAGGATGAGAGCTCACAGGAAACTCAGTGCTGAGGCCGCTACTAGCGTAGTCTAGGGAGAACAGATACACAGAGAATTTAGGACAACAGTGAGAACCAGAGAAGAGGTTGGGGCAGGTCTGAAAGATATTAGAAAAAAGAATTGCCAGCTTTTGGTGATAAATTTAATATTGTTGGTTAAAATAAAGGAGAAGAATTTAGGATGATGCTCGCGTTTCTGAACTGGGAAAAGAGTGGTGCCATACTGAGTCTGAGGTGCTCTTGTAAAAATATCTACATGAGAGTGTCAAGTTGGCAATAATGAATAAATTTAAGACTCCCTAGAGTGGACTCCCATGAATAGAAAGGTCTGGGATGATTCTTACAACTATGGGGTGGATGTGCCCATCTAGAGAAGGTGTGTCCAGAACCTACGGAAAGGACAAGGGAAGAGAAGCCAGCTAGTGAGACATGAAGGAATGGTTAGAGAGACAAGAGGAGAATCAGCCAGGGGTCATTGCTGACCTTCGAAAGGAAAGTTTTAAAGGAGTTGTGAGGGCAAAAGTTGATGAGTCAAGGCCTGAGTGAGAGGTGAGGAAGCAGAGTTGGCCACTACAGGTAAATCTTTTTAGAAGTTTGGCGGAGAAGGGATGAAGAGCTACAGGTCAGTAGCTAGAAAAGAATGCAGGATCAAGGGATGGGAAAAAGACTTAGCTTCTTGCACATTTATATATTTTTGGCATTGTTTAGTCATAGGTAGCAACAACTCATGAATAATTGTATCAACAAGTCTGAAAATGTTAGCAAAAGTATTTGCTAGAATATTCAATGGCAAAAATTGCATATGGCTCAAAACATGACAGGAAAATATTAAATTATCAGATGATGCTAAATATGAGACTCTGTGAAAGATCATTTTATTTCTCTTTCCCATAAGTCAAAGTTGAAAAAGATGTTTGTTAAACATTTTGAATTTAGTTAATAATTTCCTATTTTTACCTTTAAAATAAAAAGAGATCTTCCCTCATATGATCTTCCAATAGAGAACATGTGAATGAAGCCTGAATGAGTTTTATTCAGATGATGCATCCAATTTTGAATCTAAGAGCAAATAAATAAAAAGCATTTCAGACTTTCACAGTAATGGAGCGTCAAGAGAAAAAAAGATAACAAAAAGGGAACAGCAGGTCTTAGAATTCGGATAATACACATGAAATATACAACTGAACAAAAAAATTTCTATTTTTAGTTTTCTTTGGGATATTTAATATTGCATTTCATTTTCTCCCTTTGCAGATAGTAACTTATGTCTTTAGATTCTTCCCTTATTAAAGCATACCCTCTACTATAGTATATCATTAGTATATTGGAAAAAAAGTTTTTACAAAATTTAATTGATGTGTTCTGGTTTATTTTTGAAAATCAAAATTTATTTTCATTTTCCTGCAAGTATCTTAGGGGGAAAAAAAATAAATCAACTTTAGAAAAATTGTTCAAACTACTTGAAAGTATTTCTTAATGTCCCGTACATTATAATTTGCCACCAGACAGGAGATGCTAAGGAAAAGGCATTACCTTTTGCATTTAAAGGTTATTCTACCAAGCTACACATTGGAGAGAAAACTCCAAATAATTTTTCCAGTGACAATGATGCATCTACATTGATCCACTCATACACACTTCTCTGTCATCAGGAGAAGGTATATTTGAGATGGATGAATAAGGTGCTTCATTTCTGACTTAAAAACCCTTCAAGGAATAAAGAAATAACAAAAGTATCCCACTGTTCCATGATATAAAAGGGTCTGTGCTGAAAAAAAAATTTTTTTTGAAAAGTACTCACATATTCTTTTCTTTCTATTCTTATTTAATCTAATGGGCAGGATATATATGTATATGTATATATGCACATACAAATGTACATATGCAAGCATATCTATATCTATTATATTTTAAAATTTGATTTTTTTCTACTGAGGTGCTTCTGTGTGTCAAGTGATCTAAAACCCTTCTACTGTGTCTAGCTTCAAGACTCTAAAATGTATGCTAAGACTTGAAATATGTGGAAATAATTTTGAGAGTTATCATCAAGAGAACCAAAAATACTCTTTAGATTAGAACAGGACCTCATTAATTTTATGTCTGGCATTCCTTTGTTCAATTCAGAGAAAGCATGGAAAATTTATGTATTCATTTATTTATTCATTCTGTCACCAACCATCTGTTTGGAGACCTCTATTTGCCTGTGACTGTAGTGGTGAACAAGGAAGAAATGGCCTGTCCTCATGAAACTTGTAGCTCATTAGGGGAGAAATGCAGTAACCAAATAATCACACAATTACATAACTGAAAACTGTGACAGGTATCACATCCATGTGCTATGGGAACATGTAATTCACAGGGGACTTGTGAGGGAGGGGCTTGATCCAATCTAGGAGAGTAGAAACAGCTACCTTCTTGCTTAAGCTGAGATTTAAAGAATAACCAGTTGTCCAGGTAAACAGTAAATAAAATGTGGCTGTGAAGATGAGGCAGCTCTGAGTTTTCCAGGTAGAATAAATAACAGCATGTTTAAAGGTGCAGAGGCAACGCACAGGAAGGCTGGAGTTTGGGAGGTCTCAAATTTGCAGAGGTCGTGGGGCAAGTAAAGTCTACCCTTGTCCCTCAACCAAATCACTGAGCTAACCACTCTGACTAGTTCTATTTTCCATGGCTTTTTAGTTAAGGCCTTTTAGCTGTAATTATAGCAACATTACTTCATTCTTCCATTGCACTTTCCATGTGCTTTGCAGGAGTGGGTTGGGTAAAGTCCATGAAATTAAAGTTATTTTGCTACTTCTTCTATAGCAACAAAAGGTTTAATGGAAGAGTTGAATGAACTGAGGTGCCTAGGCCAGTATAAGAGCTATAAGTATGTATTCTTTACATAGCCCATTTTCTATCATTATGCTTCTCCCCCAGTCTTTAGACTAAATGATAAAGATGCACTTGTAAACAAACAATAAAAGTTCCTTTGATTACATACTTCTTCTAAGGAGTGATAAACTTCATAATTATATCCAGAGAGGGATCTTCGATTTCTCTGGGCTTGCAAGCTACTTCCCTTTTCCAGTGCTTTCTGAAGATCTTCTATGAGAATCCTGGATTTGAAATGATAGACATGATGAAAAGCAAAAGTAGATTAAGCTGATGTAAAAATCAGACAATTAAGCTGATGTAAAAAATCAGGCAATATCCAAAGAAAATCATATGCATCTATGTACAGAAGGACTGCAGCAATCAATGTTTCTAAAAATGCCAAATATTGGGAAAATTATTTTTTCAGGAAATAAAAACTGTTAAATAAATTGTGTAATAAACTTAAAGTATAAGATTGTAGGCAGATGTCTCCAGATAATAATCTTAGTAACAAAAGCAGCTATGAGCAGCTATAATCAATTGGTGTCTATGAGCACTTACATTTGAGTACTACTTACTGGGAGGCCAGGCACTGTGCTACATATTTTATGTACAGGTGTTAGTTAATAGCTCTATTTGGTAGAGTCTATTGTTATTACCATCTTAAAAATGGAGCCTCAAAAGTGTTAAGAACTTGCCATTGGCGCAGAGCCAGAATTTGAACCTGGAAAGTGAACCCAAATTCCAATCTTGAGACTCCAAGTCCAAGGAGACATCAAGAAAACTGAGTCTAAGCTGCTTCTCCATTCCCTTGCCAACTCCTCTTTCCTGCTGCTTCTACCTGTACACATCCATTTCATCACTGAGAGACTGTTCTTATGCCATTACCTGGCATACCTGACCTAAGACTCAGAGAGAAAAGGAAAAGAAGGAAAGAAGCTACAGTCCTCAAGAGGAGACTGAAGAAATACCCAGAGTTGGTAAAAGCTATTTCACTGCCTGCCAGTAGCAGGAATGTCAAGAGAGGAGAAACTAAGCTAATCATAGTTAATGTACTTGGAATTTAAAGGCTGGGACCAGGGTGGGGGACTCTAGGCTATGTGAAACCAGCTCTAGGCAGTGTCACTAATGTTCTTGATGTGACATCTGAGCTAGATAGTTACAGGCTTGTCTTCCCAATATTCACCAGCCTCCACTAACTAGAGCACCATGCAATAGCAAAGCACTTCATTCATTTGCATTCTTAAAGATGTTAGAAAGCTCCCCCAGTGATTTTTCAGAGCCTGGCAGGTGGCTGGCTAAAAAGCTTTGCTTTCATTATTTTATTTTCCAAAAGAACTTGTTGCTTAATGGTGTAAGTGCTATTCAAAGAACATGTAATGATATCTTTAAATAACTTTTAAGGCTGATCTACAAAAGCCACTTAATTTTTAAAAAATTATCTTAAATCACCTAATAAATACTTTCTGTTTCATGAAGGAAATAGATTGACTTAGGGTCATATTGGGTATAGGACATTCACTTTCATTTATTCATCTGTTATTTATTGAACAAAGCACTTAATCAGAAATTGATCACTGGCTTATGATTCTTTTTGTTTCAAGTTCTGACTTTAAAACTGGAAACATTTCAGAAATCAAGATAAGGTGAGGTGGTTCAAAGCTTGGTCAAGTCTCTCGGCAGCAACTTGCATTGACTGAAAATGTGAGTGGAACATTAAGTCATCAGTCTGAATACCATTTTTATCAGTGTTTTCTTTCTTCCCTCAAGGTAAGAAGTTACAGATGATTAGATTTGTATAGGCTGAAGAATTTTATGATATTGCTAAGGTAGGTTGTGAGCCAAATGAACGTCTATGTCAATGTCCTGACTTCCTTGTGCTGGGAGGGAATCTGGGATGGTCAAGAAGGATGCATTTGATTAGAGTTGCAGTGTTTATAAACTGTCAACGTATTCCAGGACTGCAGGTAACCTTCAGGTATGTTTCCCTCACCGGGATCATCTATCTATTTCTCCGGGCTACTTTTTTCTATCTCAGGAAATTAAGAAAAATAAAATGTAGACAAATTTGCCAAAGCCATAAATCTATACAGAACCTCCTGCTGGATTTTCAGTTTATAAAGTCTGTGGTCCATGGTTTTGGCAGCCCTAGCAAACTAATATAGACCTCTGTTCAGTAACTTGTACTGTACCATATTAAGTCTCTAAGAAACCAAACTCAAATTAAGAAATAATGGTGATATTTGAAGTCCAGCCCCAATTTCCTTGCCAAGTAGTTGACCAGACACTAGCATATTGAGAAGACTATGAAATGGAGTCTCAAAACGGTCATTGTAAACAATTGTATCTTCTTAGTTCTTTATGGAATTATAATTCCTACCCCACTTGTGTATGCTCCTATAATAGTGACTAGAGCTATAACATTCCAAGTGATGTCATCACTCAGTACAAATCCACATCCCCAAAACTTCTAGGTTAGAGAGAAACTCTCAAAAATGGAAATTCCATTGCCAATTTTTATAAGTGCTTATTATAGAATGACCAATATATATTTTTTAAGGCAGAATGAGTCATCTCATACAGAGCGATTGATCACCTAGGGGCCAGACACATAGGGTCACATTATCTCCACTTTAAAAATCACTATAGCTATACATTATGTATTCTTGTACAGAGTACATGACAATCTTTGGAAAATACCCGAGGCTACAATACTAAAAGTCAATTAAAATGATCTCTGCCTACTGGGCCTGTGGAATTTAATTGACTCTTATGTGTTATTATCTTGGGACCAACAAAATGAATAACTCTAGATGATTGTTCTTCAGGAGGAGGCAACTTATTTAAAACACTCATTTTTTTAGACTCTATTCTTTGTGACATAAAGTGTGATATTTTATTCTATATCGGTTCCACACGACCTATATTTAATGGTAGGAAATAGAGACTTGTTAAACTAACTGGTATTTTCTTTTCTACTGAATAATTATTGATGAAGCATGTGAGTTGTTACTGAGCACCTATAGATACAATTGCCACGCTCTTTCCTGTCAAGCATTCAGAGAATCAGAGCACACTTTCAAAGCTACAGCAGTGACTAAAATGTGTCCAATATGAACAATAGTTTTATGCATAGTGATTCGGTTCTGGAAGCACAGATAAAATACCTTTCTGCAAGAAGCATACCAGTACATTAATAAGTCTGTAAATATCTTTCTGGAGGGGCAGTCTTTTTGTGGACCAGGGATGCCATTGCCATTTGGCAGCTCTTGGCCCAGTCCTCCAGAGAGAATGGGCCCTCACCATTGGCCCACAGAGCTGTCAGCCCACCCCAGGGACCTGTGTGCCAGTTTTGACAGTACGACAACCTGCTGTAAAGCTGGGATAGTCAGGGTAGTCACTTGCACTCATGCCACTCAACCCTGAAATCCTAGGATCCCCAGTGAAAGGTAAGTTACTGCCCCTTTCCCATTAATTCACACACTGCACTTCTCCTTCCAGATCCTCCACTGATGCCCCTTCTCTCCACCACCCCCTTTTCCCGGTGCACACTGGAGTTGCTCTTCAATTGTAAATAAACTTCCTATATCCTCTAGTCTTTTCAGAGAATGCTTTCTCATATTCTTGCCCCATCAGAAATGTAACCCTTAAGGACACACATTCTTTTGTGACTTTCTTTTTTTTTTTTTTGAGTCGGAGTCTCACTCTGT